ACCCCCTTCTTTTTTTCTTCTTTCACTTCATTTTCTTATTATTCGCCTTTTTATTTCTTTCCCCCCACATTTCAGCGCTTCCACTAGGGCTCGATGTCCATGGATATATTATTATCTGCTTTTATTTATCTGGAAATTTGGTGGTCTACGGTTACGCGATATGGAGGCTGGGTGGCACATTTTGCCAAATTATTTTTTTCACAATTTACACGACCTGTGATGGCGGAACACAAATTTTATTTCATTTTATCTCATTTATATGTAACATCAATTCCCGTGGCCTCGTTCTCTCAAAATCGTGTTGTACTTTCTCCTCTCCAAAGACCCATAAGTTCACCGGTCTCTCTTGTCCAATCTCGGACACCATCTACCAAGGCTTTGGCCATTCCCTTGTTCTTGGACTTGCCATCAGAGGGACCTAGGCCAGTGGGTTTGGTCCCAGTGGCATACTCAGAACCCATGCTTGGCAACACATTTTCCCCCGCGCTCAGACTAACAAACAGAGCGAATGGAACGAGCCAAACGCACAGACCAAAGTATGAAGCGACTTCGGAGAAAGAGGGCATCTCATCATAACTGACTCCATACGGTTGACGCCAGTTGTTCGACGGAGGCAATGGCTTCGAGAAATGGCGGAACCATAGCCAGTGGTTGAGACCAACTAGAAGGCAGGAGAGGAGGAAAAGAGGATCGGATAGTTTGACGATGGGGAATCGGCGCAGATTGCTGGCGTAGACCATGTGCGAAGCAATGCTTAGCAGAGATAGTGATACAGGGAAACGGTCAATTATCATAAGCAGAACTTGTATAGCGATGATGCCGTAGATCAGACGGGTCAACACACGGCGGGCAAGAACCGTGTGTTCTTCCACAAGCTCGGATAGGTAGTAGAGTCCCGAAGCTGAATATCTCAAAGTCAGTTTTCCATTGTTGTTATGATTGCATATGTCGCTTCATACCTATGGCCAAGGTGAGAAAGGCAAACCCAACAACGACCCCGAAATATCCAACTAGCGGTAGAATCCACATGATGCCCAGTGATTACAGAGCTATAGAATGGTCGTAATGTTGAGAAGCAAAAAAGTAATACACGAGGCAATCTGCCTCAGAGAGAGATTCGAGATGCAATCGGAGGAACGTGGACGTTTTGGGGTACTGATGCCTCAGGCAGCACAACCAAAAATAATTTAATGATTTTCCAAACTTGCAACTTGCAACGCAACTTGCACATCAATACCACACACCATGTCGCGCCCTGAAGATATCCTGTATGACCGCCTGGCTCTACTCCACAGATCATGAAGGAAAAAAAAACTAATCTCTCGAAACCCCAGCCCTCCGGACCTGTTCTACAATGACAATGAATCGCGAAAGTATACGAAATCCTCGCGAATTCGCAACATTCAAGCCAGCATGACCAGTCGTGCACTTGAACTTCTCGACCTAAAATCCCCCTCCTTTATTCTCGATCTCGGCTGCGGCTCCGGTCTCTCCGGCGAAATGCTATCGGAAGTTGAGCCCGAACAAGGTGGCCCGCACACTTGGGTCGGGATGGATATTTCACCCAGCATGTTGGACGTGGCTTTACAACGCGAAGTGGAAGGCGATCTATTCCTCGCAGATATCGGCCAGGGCGTCCCATTCCGACCGGGCACATTCGACGCCGCAATCAGCATCAGTGCGATCCAGTGGCTGTGCAATGCGGAAACCAGCGATGTCAGTCCTGAAGGTCGTCTGCGACGCTTCTTCGAAGGTCTGTATGCCAGTCTTCGTCGGGGTGGTCGTGCGGTTTGCCAGTTCTACCCGAAGAACGATGTCCAGCGGAGTATGATCAGTGGAGCTGCAATCAAAGCTGGCTTTGGTGCGGGTATCCTTGAAGATGACCCCGGCACTAAGAGCAGCAAGTTGTATCTGGTTCTGACTGTTGGTGGTGGTGGTTTGACTGGTGATATTACTGGTGTTGTGAACGGCATGGATGATGTCAATGTCTTGGATGCGAGACGCAAGGCTACGGAGATCAATAATGCTCGTGGGCCACCGAGGAAGGGAGATAAGGCTTGGATTTTGAACAAAAAGGAGCAGATGACGAAGAAGGGCAAGGTTGTCAAGGCTACGTCGAAATACACTGGCCGCAAACGACGAATCGCTTTCTGATTGAACTGCTTTACAGACGCCGTTCGTCGTTGGTGGATTCAACCAAAAGAAAAGAAAAAAAGGAGAAAAAGCCTGGATGGAAAGAGTGTTCAAGTCATTCATCCTCAAGTATATAGCTTTCACCCATTCTGTCTGTGTATGCGCATTCCCTTGAGCGTTATCCACACATCTGAATCGGAATTTGATCACATAGTCTTGTCGAGGGATGCTCACCTTCTACAAGTTCGACTCGAGTCAAGTTAGTCGATTGTGAGGTGCCTGTTAGAGGCCTCGCAACCGGTTGGAGGGTTGAAGATTGAGCTCTTTACCTTCTGGGCACCGTGATATGAAGTTGGCCCATTGAATATTCATGGCCTTGATGTTTATACCCAACTACTAATGCAATGAATGTCCATGTTATGATCACAAAAGAAAAAGTGTCTATTGCTATAACTTGCCGGGGACGTTTCGAGCTAAATTGAAAGGAAAGATAATACATCAAATGAGGACCACACCGACCAATTCACGGTGGAACACATTCCAAGAATCAGCAGGCAGCATCCTCAATCGTAGCGGTAGGTATGTTGGAGCGCGGGGGATTCCAAAATTTACAGAGACGCCTCCATCTTGTCCAAAACAGCCCGGGTGAACTCGTGGGTGGTAGCCTGACCACCCATATCGCGGGTCATAGTGCGACTAAAAGAAGAAAATCAGTAAGCTGGTCGTTTTTCCACAAGGGTATTGGTTTACTCACCCTTCACCGATAACATCGTAGACAGCCTTGGAAATGCGGTTGGCGTGATCATCGAGACCAAGGTGACGCAGAAGCATGGAGCCAGACAGAATCATAGCACTGGGGTTGGCCTGATCCTTGCCCTTGATGTCAAGACCGACGTGACGGCAGCCGGGCTCGAAGACAGCGACGTCACGGCCCATGTTGCAACCGGGGACAACACCGGGTCCACCAACGAGAGCAGCGCCGACGTTGGACAGAATGCCACCGTAAAGGTTGGGCATGACCATCACGTCAAACTGCTGGGGGCGGGACACAGCCTGCATGGAAGCGTTGTCGACAATCATGTCCTCCACCTCCAGAGTGGGGTACTCCTCAGCGACCTTGTGGAATGTGCTGCGGAAGAGACCATCGGCCAACTTCATGATGTTGGCCTTGTGAATGCAGGTAACCTTCTTGCGGTTGTTGGCAAGGGCGAAGCTGAAAGCGAATCTGGCGATACGCTCGGACTTGGCGCGAGTAATAATCTTCAGGGACTCGACAACACCGTTGACGGACTGGTGCTCGAGGCCGGAGTACTCTCCCTCGGTGTTCTCACGGATGATGCAGAGGTCGACATTCTTGTGGCGAGTCTCGTAACCGGGGATGTTCTTGATGAGAGAGATGGAGGCGTAGATGTCCAACTCCTGACGCAGGGCAACGTTGAAGGACTGGTGGCCCGAGCGCTCAATAGGAGTGTGGAGGATACCCTTCAGACCGAGCTTGTTGCGCTTGAGGGAAGACAGGGACTCGCGGAAAAGCTCCTCGGAGTGCTTGTTACCGGCGTCAACACCGCTAACGTCGACCTGCTCCCACTCAATGGGGACATTGTCGGCCTTGAAGATGGTCTTGACCGATTCGGCGACTTCGGCGCCGATACCGTCACCTTATCCAATGTTAGTTCAGAGCATGCGCAAGGCAAGCAGAAAAAGCGCAAAATATGTGAGGCATACCAGGAATGAGGGTCACGGTGTACTTGCCACCATACTTGGTAGGCTTGAAGATGTCCGACTGAATGCTGGCGAAGGCTGCGCAAATTGGTTAGCGGGGGTGATTGCGAAGCACATGAGGAAATATCAATGGCGTACTTCTGGCGGGAATAGAGCGACCGAGGGTGGAAGCTGCGGAAGCGCTGCGGAGCAGAGTCTATACACAACAAGGTGATGTTAGCGAAGCCCCCAATTGCCTTGAGAAAAGATATGAAACATCGGAAACACGGAAACACGGAAAAAGCAAAAATGAGATCTTACCCGGGCAGGCTGTGCCGTTCTGGAGAACATTTTCAAATGAGTCGGGGATTAAACAAAGAAATTGGGACAGAATCACGAATCACCAAATTCGAGGGGGTTGGAAAAGGGAATCAGTGAAAACGGGAAAAAAAGCCTCCGGATGGGCTCGGCATGGTTAGCGCCGGCCCGATCTTATCTCAATGGATACTTGGGCAGTCTTGGGTGGACTACTAAACAATGAAACAATGAATATCCTAAAATTTTCATCCTTATTCATTTAATCCCCGAAAATTATGTTTCTTTCGCCAATTCTTATTCATATCCTCTTCTGGTCCTCACAAATGTCACAACTTTAAGGTCAGTGGTCAACTCGAACAAAAGAAGATATATACGATGCTAACTAACACACTCTAGCTAATTAACTTGGCTTATTAGCCTACTTTTCTGTCAAAGCATTCGAGATGATGGCTTGCCCTAGACTTCTCTATACGAGACCTCGGTTCATTATTGGAGTGGCAAGTGGACATCGTCAATAAGATCCCTATTCAGGACGGGCAACCTCGAACAGTACCTCTATTCGGGCTGATATCGGTCGACAAAGAACGCTATTCAGGATCATGCCTCCATTCGGAGTAACGAGCTCTTCGAACCCATGGCCAACAAGCCTTTCTCAATGACTATACGGTTATTGAACCAGCGATGATACCTCGTCTTCAGGAATATATAAACCTCGTTGCAGTTCGTCTCCTACATTTTTTTCTCCAGACATCTCCATCATCGAGCTTTCTCAGTCTCTTCTCTATCCTTCGCTTCTCGAACCAACCTTCCAATTCCAAACCCCGGTTTCTATCTCTTCAACAATCAAGATGAAGTGCACCTCCGTCCTCGTTGCTGTTCTCGCTGCTGGCACCGTCCACGCCGCCGCTGTCGCAGGTGGTCCCGGCACAACCCTTCCCAAGTGGTGTGGCCACATTGGCCAGGGCTGCAAGCGAACTGCCGATGCGTCCGTCGATGTCAAGCGCTCGGCTGATGCTCTCGCCGAGGCCATGGCCCGCAACTTGCCTATGGTCCTCCAGAAGTGGTGTGGCCACATTGGCCAGGGTTGCTACAAGGCTAAGCGTGCCGCCGACGCCGCCGATGAGGTCAAGCGTACCAGCGATGCTCTCGCATATGCCATGGCTGCTCTCGAAGAAGAAGATGACTACTCAGAGTAAAGGTACGCTACAGTTTCATCTATTCTTTGGAGGATTCAATCGACTGACTTTTCCCAGTGTCTCCTCTAATTTTGAGTTCCGTTGTGCTGCTATCGGTAGGGATTGTTTGATGATTCTCTTTTTGATCGCCAATATGCACACCATCGACTACTTTTTCGATGTGAGAGCTCTCAGGGAAGCCCGGTTGGCATGTTATGGATGCGTTATGAAAATGCCAATGGCGAACACTCTTTTATCTTCACCGTTGGTCATAGCATTGATTTCTAGTTTCTAGTTAAATCTACATTTGAATTGCGGGGGTTGATGGATCGTTACTCTGAGAAATATGTATCTAGATGCAAATAATGCCATCCCCATTTGACACAACACCTCTTTTCGAAATCCCAAAAGACAAGATATTTCGGTCATCTTAGGTTGCTGCTAAATTTGGCTTTCATTTTGTGATATTTTGATATTTAGGTATTCCTTAGGCCAAGGATGGAAGATGGAACTATATAATCTAGTTGGTATATTTTTTTCATATTAGTTAGAACATTTGAAGGCGAAGGGCAAATACAACAATGATAGAAATGACAAAACTAATAGTGGTATACACCACAGCTAGGGTAATATCTTCTCGACTCTTCAAATGCACCATATTGCGATTCCATTGGACCAGCTTTTGTCAGCTCCCACCACTGTTGACCTTGATACACCGGGTCCTTTGAGCCAACATAGGATTCACCAGTGGTGGGCTCTTTCGGGAGATGGGGAGCTTGATTGGCGTTCTCATAGCCAGATACCATGTATGGTTCAGCATCAACATAGGTATTTCCATCTCCACTGTCGTCCATAGCAGAATCATGCATGGCAAAGTCCCCAGCAGGGGCATTTGCTTCATTTCCAAACTGCGAATAGAGCTGCCATGTTTGAATCAAACGATCTCTCTGTTCTGAATCGGCGTTTTCAAAAAGGGTAAGCTGGTCCGAAGTAAGGGAACTTGGATCAAGACCGTGATGTCGTAGAACATCCATGCTTGTAGGTTGGTTGGTGTGCTGGTAGTGTTGGGTGATGCTGTATGCAGTTTCTGGCGCTTGAGATGGTATGATCGTTTCTCTAGGGGCGGGATGCAGTTGTGTCATACTCATTTGCCTATCAAATAGAGCTGCCAGTTCGTCCTGCACTTTCGTGTTGCTTTCCGAAGCAGACATGCCGCACTATATATATGTGTCCTCCTGGTCAGGTTCCTTGGAATAATAAGACAAGACGAGCGTAAGCTACCTGTTTACAGTGAGGGTTCTCGATAAAAGCTGCAAGTGCATTCGAGATATCGGAGACGTGCCCGCAGTGCGGGCACTGATGTAGTATGGAGGAAGACATGGAGGGGTAGATGTTGATATAGTTCAACAATATCCGAATGAATAGAGAAATGTTGAAGCTCAATTCGAATCTTTGTTCCTTGCAAAACTGAATATGAGAAAAGAATTGAAACTGTTGTGTTTTTTTTTGTTTAGATCGAGGGGCAAAGATGCCCAAGTGCTTGTTCGGTTGGGCTGCAGTCCGAGGGGCCACTAGGAGATGCTCAAATGTTATACTGCATATCATGACTCTAATATACCCACAACATGCCACTATAGTATCCATAGTGTGCCCATACAACACCCAATACTACAAGATAAGTGAAGTAGTACCCATAAAACTCGTAGAGAAGACGTACAAACCGAAGTACCAAAATTAGGTGTCTCAAGGTCATGTGACTGGAAGCTCTGCCAGGCAACCCCGTGACGCGACAGCGTCACTGCTTAGTGCCTAGGAACCTCCGTTATCATCCCCAGAGCTTCCAACCTCACCCTACCTATCCATAGTCACCCTCCAACCCTGCCATTCTCTTCCCTTATCTGTCCAATATACAGATTAACTCTTTCGGCCTACCCACGGTGACGTCTGTTGTTCTTGAAGCTCACCGCATCGCATCCTCACCAAAATCATGGTCAGTCAGCTTCCGATCTACACAATATGTTATCTTGTATCTCAATCAAGCTAACAGAATGATTATCTAGACGTCAATCGGCACAGGCTACGATCTCTCCAACTCGGTGTTCTCGCCAGACGGCCGGAATTTCCAGGTAAACCAAACACAACCTAGCTCGTGAACGAGCAACAGAATCCCAGCTTTACGATGCTGACCATATACCATCTAGGTCGAATATGCTGTCAAGGCAGTTGAAAACGGAGGCACCGCTGTCGGAATCAGATGCAAGGATGGTGTAGTGTTGGCAGTGGAGAAGATCATCACGAGCAAGCTCCTAAAGCCAGGCGCGAACAAGAGAATCGCAACAGTCGATCGTCATGTTGGAATTGTGGGACCCCGTTTTCCTTTTACCCATATCACCTCTTCCCAAAGCAATGCGTTTTCGTCAAAACCATACCATGACATGTTATTAGGGAAGGGCTTCAAAGTACATCGTTGCTAATCCGGTTTCTTTCTACCAATGCAGGTATCTGCTGGACTCGTCCCCGACGGTCGTCACTTTGTTTCCAGAGCTAGAGATGAGGCTTCCTCGTGGAGAGGCACATACAAAGGTCCCATTCCGACCTCTGCGCTTGCCAATCGCTTGGGTGGCTACGTGCAGGCGTACACTCTCTACTCCAGCGTACGGCCCTTCGGTGTGACTGCTATTGTTGGTGGGTGGGATACCGAGGCAGAGCTTCCAGTTGACGGACAGGTTGGTACTGGACCCAAGTCCGGCTCTGGTGGAAAGGTCGAGGGTGCCAAAGCGGGAGGTCCTGGTCTATACATGATCGAGCCTAGTGGACTGTATTGGGTACGTTGTGACCACATTGTGACATGTTTGTGTGTGTAGGTGGTTGAATATGCTGACAATAATTGGTTTGGCAGGGATACTACGGTGCTGCTACTGGCAAGGGACGACAGGCCGCCAAAGCCGAACTCGAGAAACTAGACCTTGCCTCGGGTAATCTGTCTTTGGCAGATGGTGTGAAGGAAGCTGCCCGCATTATCTACGTTGCTCACGAGGATAGCAAGGATAAGGACTTTGAGCTCGAGATGTCGTGGATCAGCTCGATGGATGGACCAACCAAGGGTCGTCATGAGGAAGTGCCAAAGGAGCTCCTTGAGGAAGCAGAGAAAGCAGCAAAGCGCTCTCTGGAAGGAGACGATGAAGAGGAGGAGGACAAGGGTCAAGGCGAACAGATGGAAGAGTGAACATGTAATAGATTATGCCCCCAAAGAATTATGGTTCTGTGAAGTTGTGTTTCCTTTCATACTCCAACGAAAAACAATTTACCAAGGATCAAGTCATTTAGGTTCCAAAAAGCCACACCAGATATGTTAAGAGGGTTCCAATATAGCCCTCAACCCTTGATCCTCAAATACAATAGCAATCTACTAATCTATTGCAAGAATTACAGAATCTTGCCTTCAGCCCACTCCTTCCTCTTCAATCCCAACTCGACAGCAGCACTACCCCAGTCCTCACCATGGTTGTGCATACCACTATTTCCAAGTCCAGCCCGTTCTAATCCCTGTTCCTCGGTGAGAACAGTGAGCAGTCCAAAGATGACAGGAACACCGGAATCAAGCTGGACACGCATGAGCCCATGGCTGACGGCATCAGCGATATATTCAAAGTGCATAGTAGCGCCCTTAATGAGGACTCCAATGGCAATAATAGCATCGAAGGGCTTCTTGGCGCTTGTGGACCCGGCAGAGCCGGCCACCTCGGTAGTGGGCGATGACAGGAGGTCGGTGGCACTGACGCCCTCGCCGGAGGAGTTGGCCTGGAGCTGGGAGGCGACGTAAAGGCTGCAAAAGGGTGTTAGTTAAAGCCAATTTCGACAGGCACGGTACACAGTGTGTGTTTTGTGATGGTGTCCCCGCACTCACCGTTGCACTGCGAGGGGCAGCTCGTAGCTGCCGGGGACTGTCTGGACTGTGATGTTGTCCGCGGTCACGCCGGCTGCGAGCAGCTGCTTCTTCGCGCCTGATACCAGTTGTTCGATGATTACTGTGTTCCATCTGGCGTGCACAATCGCCACGCGGAGGCCGGAGCCTATTGTAAAATCGGCATTAGCTGGGGGGTGACTCCAAGGGCTATTGTTTGCTTTTACCATCGTGAGTCTGGGCAGCGCCGGGGCCTTTAATAGTAGTCATTTTTTTTGAGTGGGATGATTAGTCTAAAAAAGGGGGAAGATGTTTTTTTCCTTGGGAATTGGGAGAATTGAGCTTGACAAATGTTTATGAATCAGAGAGCTTGAGGGGCGAAAACCCTCGGTCCCGCATTTGGTGGGGGAAGGCGGAATGTCAACACCGAACACGGCGGTTGAGCGGAATTGGCCCAATGAGATCATTCTATAGTTCAATTTTACAGCTGGATAAAGACTCCTTACGGCAATAGGCAATGGATAGATTAAAAATAAAATAAAATGAGATTCCATTGTCCCGAAGCTGAAAACGCCTAGAGATAAGCTATTGTAGAGCATGCAAAGTAAGGCATACAGAGCTAGCATAGTATACAGAGCAAGGTATAGTTCTAGATAATGCCTACGCTGTACGGGAATAGGCGATCTAGATCGTATTTATACCGAGTTGGAAAGGCTATCCGCGTAATAAACATAGAGCCATTTCAAGACTTGGCTTCTATCTATACTCGTATTCACATTCGTAGAGATGAAGTAGTGGGTATCTTCTAATAAATACCGAGTTTTATGTTTCACTATGTAGGTTATCATCCCAGTTATCAAGCGTCCAGGTAGCTAGGGGGGATACACTAAGGCGTTGAACTGCCTGTAAAAACAACTGTTTTTGACACTTCTATATACTAGCACCGCAAAGCTATTATAACGCCCGACATGAACTTTTTCTTTCTACCTTATTCCTTGACTTTTCGCTTAGCTTGCCTTACATGTATGTACTTAGAAAGGACTCGACCGATCACGATTACTTCCCCATAGCTTTCAGTGCTCACAATTTGGGCAGTTTTTTTTTATTCCGTCGTGGGAGGCATATTCGTGTTTCGTAAACAATGAACTCGCTCACTGAACACCTCAACTGACGTCATATCACCCCAACGAAGATTCACTTGGCTCCTCGACGAAGTCTATCAACATCTCTCACACGTTCATCACTTTATCTTCACTTTATCTTCACTTTATCTTCACTTTATCTTCACTTTATCTTCACTGTTATGCTACTGTTCCTCTAAAATGGCACCGGAAACCCCCGCGAAGCTTAAAGAAGTTCTGGTTGTGACTCCACACTCTCCACCTGTGATGCGTAAACGAAAGGTGACACCCTCACTTGAACTGTCCTCTCCTAACAAAATGTGCATCCTATCCCCTGATGCCGTGTTCTCTTCGGGGCAGGGAGTTGTCTGTCTGAATGACTCCCCTGTGCTTGCACCATCAAAGAGACTTTTTCCGTTAGGTGAGGCTACTATCAGTAAGTCTTTCCTAAGTTTATATTTTGAGTGATATGCTAATTGATTTATTTAGATACGAGGTCCCAGATTAAGACGCATACCCATCTAGAGTCATCAGAGGTGCTAGAGTCGGAGCCTCCGGTAATCCAAATTCCGCCGTCCCGACATGTGATTCTACCTTTCAACCTTCGTGAAAAACGAACATTCCATCGCAATTCTGCTCACCTTATGCAGCTGTTTCCTGACACAAAGACAATTCTATTCGATGGCTATTTTATGGTGTTTTTGCTCAGCTCCCTGCCACCAAAGCCGTGGCCGCTGACCATTGCTGGTGTCCAACCATACTTTACGACGGACGCGGATGATACTGGCCCACTGCCGTCAATGAAGCGTATGAGCAAATCGCGCCTTTTCGTAGACGTTAAAATCGACGTTTCCCACCTTCCACCCTCTCAAGTTGACAATGCATTCCAGCTCGTCTTCGATTTCTTTGCGAAAACTCAGATCTCTATCACCCAAGTTCAGTACTGGGGCAATTTCTTCATGATTGTGCTAGAGAACGAAGAAACAGATATGAGTGCAGTTCCCCGTTCGATAGGCTGCTGTAACTGTTTTTATCTGTTTGACAAGGAGGTACGACGACCGACACGAGACCAACTTCCGGCTCGCAAGCTCATAGAACCGACTAATGATATTATCGACAATAGCAAGTATGATACACTGCGTCCCGGCGTCATTTTGAGTTATGGCACATGTTCTACAACAGACTCTGAATATCTCACTACCTCTGGTGTACTTGTTGAAGACTCTAACTCCGGTGAGCGATATATCACTGTTGCTTCCCACGGTTTTCCAAATGACGATAAAGTCTTCCATCCGTGTGCTAGCGGTAAAGAGATTGGTCGTATCATCATGGAGATCACACACACAGACATCGCAATAGTGAAATTGCATGATGATATTCCGTTTGTGAATAATACTTTCGAGAGCACCATTGAGGGAATACGACCTACCCAGTTGCAAAATTTCGTTAACGTCGATAGCTTGATGCCCGGTGACAGTGTCTATATGAATAGCCCTTTTGTTGGTTATTCTGAAGGTATCTGTGGACCTCACACTCGTAACCGAATTCCCCATGATGATCCTAGTCAACCTACATTCGAATGGGTTAGAACTCGCTGGTGCTATATGGGCCAAGGATCCACCGAAAGTCTCCGAGAAGGTGTTTGCGGATCTGCGATCTGGGATAAGGAGGGAAATGTGATTGGGTTCTTCCGTTTTGCACCGACGTCCGGTCACTTTTTAGAGTGGTCTTTCTGCGTCGGAGCTGATCATATCATTGAACGCGGTTTTAAAATTGCGCGAGAGTCCGGACATTGATTCTTCGCCTAGCTGTTGTGGTATCGCCTTGCTAAGACCTTGATGAACGCACCTACCTATCTATGGATGTATACTTACTTATTATATCTTAGACCTTGCCGAACGCAGTTGAGCGGAATTAGCCCAATGAGATCATTCTATAGTTCAATTTTACAGCTGGACAAAGACTCCTTAGAATAATACGCAATGGATAGAAAAAGAGTGATTAAAAAAAATAAAACGAGATTCCATTGTCCCGAAGCTGAAAACACCTAAAGATAAAAAGATGACCGGATCATAAGAATCGTCTAACCTTGCCCTAAAGAAACATTTACTCGACAGTGACCGACTTGGCCAGGTTACGAGGGAAATCGACATTCAGTCCCTCAGCAACTGCAAGCCAGTAAGAGATCAGCTGCAATGGGATGACATTGAGCAGACCCTGAAGACAATCCACAGTCTTGGGCACGCTGATCTTCTCGGTTAGAGCGTTGGAGAACTCGGGGTCATCGTTGTTGCAGATGACAATAGGGCGACCACCACGAGCAATGACTTGCTGGTATGCGTTCAAAGACTTGGTGAATAGGTTGTCACGGGTGAGAATCATGATAATGGGAAGGTTCTCGTCAACAAGAGCCAAAACACCGTGCTTCAATTCGCCGGACATCACAGCTTCGCAGTGGAGGTATGAGATTTCCTTGATTTTCAGGGCACCCTCAAGAGCAGTGGGGAATTGAGCACCACGGCCCAACAGCAGCAAGCTCTTCTGGTCCTTGAACTTGGCACACAGCTCCTTGATCGGATCATTGAGCTTCAAGATCGACTTGAACTGCTCGGAGATCTGTCCAAGACCCTCCATGATCTCCTCACGCCTCTCCTGCTTAGAGGCACGATCTTCACTCAGCGACAAAGCGAACATGACCATTGCCACAAACTGAGAGGTGTATGCCTTGGTTGAGGCCACACCGATCTCGGGACCAGCGTTAATGTGTACACCGCAGTGGGTGAGAAGAGAGATAGAAGATCCGACAACGTTAACACAACCAACGGTCAGGGCGCCACGTTCCAGACAGTAGCGAAGAGCCATCAGGGAATCAGCGGTCTCTCCCGACTGAGAGACAAACACACAGGTATCATCACGGAACACTGGGGCCTGTCGGTCAAGGAAGTCGGAGGCGAGCTCGACTGCGATAGGAATCTCAGTGAGCTCTTCGAAGATACCACGCACAGCCATGCAAGAGTGGTAACTGGTGCCACAGGCAATGAAAATGATTCGTCGGCAGCGACGGATAGTCGAGATATACTGACGAAGACCACCAAGAGTGACCTTCTTGTTGACCACATCCAGACGACCTCTCATAGTGTTAACGACAGACTCGGGCTGCTCGAAGATTTCCTTCTGCATGAAGTGATCGAACTTGCCCTTCATGATCTCCTGCAATTCGAGCTCAATGGTCTGGATAGCACGGACGTTAGAGGTGCCGTCATCCTTAGTCAGACGGTGGATGTTAAGCTGTCCCTCGTGGATGTGGGCGATATCGTCATCCTCAAGGTAGAGCACCTTCTTGGTGTGCTCCACAATGGCAGATGGGTCAGAAGACAGGAAGAACTCGACGGGCTGGGGGATGCCATCGTCGGACAGGAACGCCCGTGACTGGGAGCGGTGCAAGAGCGACTTGTCGGGAGGGGCAAGGAGGCTTGTGGCAGACTTCTTGGCTGCCGCGTTCTGGGAGGCCTGCTCCGCAGAAAGGACACCATCTTCGGAATATTCAACATCCACGAAATCCACCTTCATCTTCTTAGAGGTCTTCACACCAATGACCAGGGGTGAACCCTTACGGGCCGCAATGACCTCATGGGGGTAGTGGACCGACTTGAGCAGCAAACCAAAGGCACCCTCAAGCTCTTTGATGACTGCCTTGGCCAGGACTGTGAATTCGATGTCGGGGTGTTGGTCGTAAAGGTATTTCGCGAGCTTAGCAATGCACTCGGTATCGGTCTCGGTCTCGAAGCGGAAGCCCTTACTCTCCAACAGAGCCTTCAATTCCTTATAGTTGGTGATGATACCGTTGTGAACCACGGAGAACTCCCAGTTGGGGTCAGAACTATCCAACACCAATCCAATTAGCTTCTCAATTTCTCAATATGATCCGGGGTATGATGTTTTCCATCGAATTTGGGAGACTTACCGGTGGGGGTGGCAGTTCTGGCGGGAGGGGGTTCCGTGGGTAGCCCAACGGGTGTGAGAGATACCAGCGTGAGACTCAAAGGTCTTGGTCATGTCCTCTGAGCTCTGCTCAATGAGTTCCTTCAACTTGGCCACCTTGCCAACTTCCTTGAATGCACAGACTTCATTCTTCTTGTTGCCATCGACGGCCATACCAGCCGAGTCGTAACCACGGTACTCCAATCTGGAGAGGCCTGGGAGGGAAATAACGGTGAGCAAGAGGTTAAGATCAGATAAATTCTGGTTACTCACCATTAAGAAGTGTGTCAATGATGAACCTGCGGTCCTTCTCCACGAGGTAGTTGATGTAACCGAAAATTCCACTATGCAGACTGTGAGTATATCCCACCAAGAAAGGTAGCCAATAGCTCTTACCACATGATGGGCAAAAACGAAAAGTAAAGACAATGGTATTGAGAGAATGAAAATAGAGAAGATTAAAAGAAAGCAGTAGAGGGGAGAAAAGATAGAGAGCAGCAAGCAAGGAACAGATGTTTCGTATTTATAGAGGGGGGGCAAGAACAGAGTAGGGGGGAGGGGCGATTATATTATTAGCTCTTTCACTTTGTGCAAGCTCTGGACCAATGAGGATGGTGCTCGGACCAATTTGGTTCCCAGGGGAATCAATGTCTCACTTGGCAAAGACACATAGATTCCATCATTTGATGACATACCATTCTTATTTTTTTTTGTACTTGTAAATAGAAGAAAAATTCCAAAAAATTATTTAAAAAAAAGATTCATATAGTATCAGTGTTATAGTAAATAGTTATTGGAATAATATTTACAGATGATAATGTAAATAATACATAAATAGCAGATTTTATTTTCTTCTTCTTGGCATCTTCAGTTGTACCTGGTTGCCCAGGGACTACTATATTGGTCTGATCTTCGCCTGTTTTCTCTATTTTCTATTTGGGCCCAATATACTCCGTAATTCACGCTAGCTCACAGCTACCAGAAATAAAAATAATAAAAGAGGCTGAGCTTTGAGATGGAAGTCCAAAAAAAATCTTATATAGGGAAAATCTATAATTATATCTTTTAGTGGCCCCCGGCACATTCTTTAGTGGGAAGATCCCCTGAAAAAGAAACCTTGGAAAGGTTCGACAGACGTTCCACGCTTCTGCAATGACTATTTTATCGATTTTATAATACCCCTGGACTCGGTATCGCCGACTGCATATACTATTGGTTGGCAATTTACCCCAATATTTTCTCTTGATGTCACTTTATAAGGGAACTACCCACTATGTTACCCGTGGGCCTTAGACGGCTTATTATAAGTTGGTGTAGATAGGCTGAGACATATGGTTAACCTCTTTCTGTATATAAATCAGCCTCATCCTTCGATGGCGGGAGAAAGAGAAACCTTGAAGGCGAGGGCTATGACTACATGTAGTAAGCTCAAATATACTTCGTAATCATTACCTATTCTGTCCTTGTCTGAATTGCACGGAGTAGATACTATTCCAAATATATACTACTCCATATGCTATATATATAATGTTCAAATGTTGTCTATATATATATTAGAACACGCGACCATTAAGTTCAAAGATTTCAGGCTTTGCTATTAGCTAGAACTTACATATGTATTCACGAGATCAATCCCAAGGCTACTACCAACAATCATCTTTAATAGCAATAACAGAATCCAAGATCAAACCGATTTCCCAATGAGTGCCCAAAGATACCTAAAAGGTACCTCAATTGTAGGCATTGTTCTAGTGAATGATTAAGTCGCGGTGAGGTCACTCAAGTCCCTTTCAAGGGCAAAAAAAAAAAAAAAAATCACCCCAAAAAAAAACCTTGCTGAATCATTCAAGGTTACTGCCCGCAACGGGAACTTGAACTTGAACTTCATCACTTAATACCTAATTATACTCGCTTTACGCAGTTCACTGTTATTCCATTTTCTTTTGTTCCTTATTGGAGTTCATATCCCTTGAAAGCGTGAAGTTCAAACTCCCGTGTCCCCACCATTCCACTTCTTTCCGCTCGATCGCGTCTTAGCCTCCTGCAAACTCTTGATTTGCGCGTAACAGCACCTCCGCAGAACAGCTCCTGGATATCGCCTTTCAGCCCTCTTTTTCTTCAGATCTCTTCTCTTCTCTCATCTCTTCATTGACATCGACACTCCTGTATAAGCCCCCTTCATCTCAATTTCCTCAATTCTGTCGTGCCGGGACCTTCTCGGTCGCATGTGTCCGCAATAGCCGAATCACCACTGTCAAGGATGCTGCCTTCTGATCGCGCCACGGTCTCTGGCGTGTAGCCAACCTCTCACCATGTCACGCGCCTCGGCTGGCTTTGCAGACTTCTTCCCCACCGCCCCATCAGTCCTTCAGCAGAAGCGCTTCAAAACAGCGCAGGAACGACGGAAGTTACATGTCGAAGGTGAACAAATTTCTGAAAGGATTTCGGATTGTCCAGTGTCTCTTGCCTCGACCACATCCGCGACCATTGGGACGCCCCTCAAACCTGATGCAAACGAGGGGGGCGCTCGCACTCCATCGGTCCCTAACGAGCTTGAATTGACCATCTCCGCCAAGGCGAAAAGCGTGGAGGATAGGTCCGGGCTACCTCCACCACCTACAGCAAATCCCGTCCCATCACAAATCGATACACTGACACCGCTCACTAATGCGGAGTCCTCACCCCCTTGCAAAGTAACTAGCCCTTCGCAGCTAAAGATAGCAGACGGTCGTTCCCCGGGTACTTCTTCCAGGCCGAATCCCGAAACCACCAAATCTTCTATCACTCTAATCGACACTCCTCCGACCCCTCAGTCGCAAACCCGACATATCGAGCTCCGTGTAACAGGCTGCAAGGTTGTCTATGACCCCGATCTGGACAAGCGGGCCTCGTCAAAGGAAAAACGGAAAAAGCTCGAGTATGTGGACATTGTGCATAATGGCCAAGCCGATGCACCGTCCGATCCGCGTCGTGCAATTGCCAATTATACCCGTGGTTCTGGCTGCAAGCAAAAGACAAAATATCGACCCGCGCCTTACAATTTGAAGCCATGGTCATACGATGTGGCAACGAGCATTGGTCCGGGGCCTCCAATCCAGGTTGTGGTGACGGGGTTTGACCCTTTGACCCCGATCGCCCCGATCAGCGCGCTTTTCTCGAGCTTTGGAGATGTCGCCGAAATCAAAAACCGCACAGACCCTATCACCGGCCGGTTCCTCGGAATCTGCTCCATCAAATACAAAGATAGCACGTCAGCCCGGGGGAATGGCCCGGCGTCAGCATCTAGCGCAGCGCGACGTGCATACTTTGAATGTAAAAAAGAACAACGCATTGGCACACGCAGGATTAGAGTCGAGCTGGACCGCGATGGCATTGTCTCAGATCGAATGGCAGCGAAAGCAGTCGAGTCCCAGCGACTGGCTTCCAAGAGCACCATTCCCCTTCCGCCCTCAAGTGAACCGAGACCGGAAGTCCAGATCAAGAAAAGCGAACCACCACCGACTGCGCCTAAAGGTCCCTCAGGCAGGTCATCCTTACGACCGGGGATCGTTATTCCGGAAGGCCCTAGGGCCGGTGTCCGATCCCCAGTTGTACAATCGTTGGTAGAAGAAACTGCTATCTTGAGTCAGATCAAACGCGATCCATACATTTTCATTGCGCATTGTTACGTCCCGGTTCTCAGCACAACAGTTCCGCACTTGAGGAAGAGGCTTAGGCTCTTTGGATACAAGCATATTCGTTGCGACAAAACCGGCTACTATATCATCTTCGAGAACTCGCGCCGGGGCGAGGAGGAGACTGAACGCTGCTACCGACTATGCCACATGCAACCATTATTCACTTACATCATGAATATGGAGAGCCAGCCCTACGGGAACCCGAACTACGAGCGAAGTCCGAGCCCCGAACGCCTCCGCACCGAACGGCGAGACAAGGCCGAAAAGGATCGGACAAGGAAAGAGGCGGACTTGGACATCGAGGAAGAGAAAAAGCAGCGGGCTCTTGATTTGGATCCATGCCGAGAGGTATTGTCTATAATAATCCGTGACCTAAGGGACAAGCTTCTCGAGGATGTGAAATCACGTATAGCTGCTCCGGCTCTCTACGACTATTTGGAGCCAAGTAAACATGCGGCCAAAAGGGAAAGGCTGGGTATTTCTGACCCTGAAGGTACAAAACGATCTGTTTTCCAAATCGACAGCACCCCTGGCTCCCGAGGAGAAATGTCTGCCGGGCGAGACCCTCTCAGATCATCTGGTCTGAATGTACTCGCTCTTCCTCGTATCCGGAAAGCCCATGGTCTTGACCGTGCGGGTGCTGCTTTCTTAGACGAACGGCGCAGGCAACCACTACGAAAGAAAGAAGTTCGGCCCTTGTATCATCGCTTACAGCAGTTGCACGATGATGAAGATTCCGACGACGATCAGCGCACTCCTGCTACTAGGGATATCGATGAGCGAGAGAGCCGACCCCCCAGTCGCGCAAGTTCAACGTCATCGGAGGACGAAGGATACCGGTCAGACGATCTGGGGTCATCTCAGGGGAGCGAAGAGCGCGGCGTCCAAGTTGTGGACGATTTGGATGCCGCAAATGAAATCGGCGATATTTCTCATGAACTTGAGCTGTCTCCCACGTCAGGCAAGAGAAAGCGATTGGCTGAAGATGACGAAGCACGAAAGCGGCAGCGACAGGAGGACGAGCTATTTGGCATTGACTCAGAAGCGGCCGAACAAGAGGGTGTGACCAAGGACCTGGAAATTCCCGCGGCTATTGGCGATGATCTTCCAGAGGATGACGAAAAATTACCAACACACGATCAATCCGTAGAGCAATTCACCGAGCATGTCTCTCACAATTATCCCGAGCGGGATGACCTTTCGGTCAGCGAAACTTGGAAGGCAGAACCTATTGATGAGCCGAAAACAGAGATTGAATGGGGCTGTTCCGAGGGTGAGCCCCGCGCTACGGTGGAGGATGATGAAACTATCGTGCTTGATTTGGATGGTTGGCAACACCTGATCAAGGACGACGAAGATTTGCGATTTTTGCGAGAAATCCTACTGGACCAGCCAGAATCGGTTATTCGAAATCTTGCTGCATGGGGTTGGAAACAGAAGGAGATCAAAGCCCTCAATGGCTTGGAAACCGGCACGACTCAGGACGCTATCCATATTCCTGGTTATTATGTGCCAAATATCACAGGAGCTGCACGAACGGAAGGTCGAAAAAGGATTCTCGAAGCAGAAAAATCCAAATATCTACCCCATCGGATCAAGGTTCAGAAGGCTCGCGAGGAGCGTGAAGCGAATGCCAAGGCAGATCCCCAGGCAGCAGCAGCCGAAGCTGCCAGAATTGCAGCCGCCAAAACAATATCGAAATCGACATCCCGATCAACGCGAGTCAACAACCGCCGGCTCATCGCAGACATCAATGCGCAAAAGCAGGCCCTTCCCACTGCGAGCGGCGAAGGAGACGTTCTTCGATTCAATCAGCTTAAGAAACGTAAGAAGCCTGTGCGCTTCGCTCGCTCTGCCATTCACAATTGGGGCTTGTATGCCGAGGAAAACATCACTGCCAATGACATGATCATCGAGTATGTCGGGGAGAAAGTGCGTCAGCAGGTCGCCGATATGAGAGAAAGACGATACCTGAAGAGCGGGATCGGCAGCAGCTATCTTTTCCGAATCGACGAGAACACCGTCATCGATGCCACAAAGAGAGGAGGAATTGCGCGATTCATCAATCACAGCTGTACACCCAACTGCACTGCCAAGATCATCAAGGTTGATGGCAGCAAACGGATAGTGATTTATGCGCTCAGGGATATCGAAAGAGGTTCGTAAACTGCGCTGGGTTCATGAAAAATACAGGTGCTAACAAAATCTATCAGATGAGGAGCTAACGTACGACTACAAATTCGAGAGAGAGTGGGACAGCGATGACCGAATCCCCTGCCTCTGTGGTTCAACGGGTTGCAAGGGATTCCTTAATTAAACCCACTTTCCGAGATCTATCAAGCAAGGTCTTTGGGAGGCATATTCGCTCCCATCTACTAGGTGGCGTTGAATCGGGCTGGCGTTTTCAGGGTGGGAGCATTGAAGCATTTATCAATGGCAATCGTGATTTCATAAACTACGAACTCTCTTGTACAATATACCAATTCCAAAAGAATTTCGCCTGTTTTACCTTTCGAGTCATAGCCCTAGAGCAAAGTCCTCTTAGAAAGCAATATGAGAGTGTAGTGTCAAATCCCAGAAGAACTAACTCGACTCGGATATCCGATAACCTTGGTGCCACTGCGTAGGGTCTTCTTTCGAAAAAAAAAGAGGAAAGGAAAGGAAGAGAGACTGGCTCTCAAAAACCGGTTCCTAGCCCTGGGGTATCGATTTGCGAAGCAGTTTGGGTGGAGAGTGCATGTGTGGAAATGTGTTGTTCAGACTGGAGAGATGTTAGCAAGATGAATACGGTCATGAAAAAGAAAGAAACGATATTTCTCACCAAGGTGGCTTGGAAGAAGGAAGTTCGCAATTCCTTCTTTAATCATATATGAATGACCGCAGTTCCCACAGGTCAATTTCCCTTCTGTGACGTGCGTCTCAAGTAGCAACCGGTGCAAGTCCTTCAATGTCTGCTCGTTGTCGAGAACTTCGCCCTCGGGCTTCGAATCCGGGAGAGCAGGGAATCCCAGCTGAGATCATGCAAGAGTCAGCTTATTTCTAATTGTCGGTAGACAACCCGGGTTTTGATCAACTCGGTGTTGGATGTAGATGTTCATACCTCGTTGGAAATGGTGCGCAGGGCTTGCCAGTCAATTCGGGGAAGGATATTGCGGATGAACTCGGGCTGGAAATCCAATTCCTGTTGCTCTAGCTCGGCATCGTGGAAATGTAATGGGAATGATGCCGGTGATGTCTTGCATTCCTTCACGGCGCATGTCACGAAGTTGGCGGTGATCACTTTCATTGTAGCGGGCTTTGGGTGGGTGATTGCCGGTAGTTTGTTGATACGAAGATTCTGCGAATGTTGGTGAAGTATGGGGAGATCGATTGGGTCTAGACAGGAGATCAATTTAAAGGATAATGAGCGTCGGTGGCCCCTCCGAGGGAGGAAAAAAAAAGAGCCCCACGGCTTATCGGATATCATGTGATATGGATACCTGGACCACTAGGTACCATCCATGTTGATGGTTTATTTACTTTGAAACCGTGTATACATGATCTTACAGAAATTTGCTAGGTTCAAATAGAAGATTTGATTATCTTTGATTAGCCATTATGCAGTTATATCCTTCAAGGCCGCTTATTTGATCTGGACATCCAACAGATCTAGATCGTCAATGTCATAGTCGCCAAGACATAGATCGGGGTCTAGTTTGTCGCCATCAAACAGGAGGAAGATATCATGGTCAACAGAAATGTTCTGTCTATCCCGAAAAGCAGATATGAGTCGTGAGATCACAGTTTTTTGTCTTGCTTTGATTTTGAAATCTTCGTATCCAAGACTCCTCAGAATAAGTTTCATTGGCTCACCCTGATCATCTTCTGGGGATTGCGACGCTGTAGGGGGCCTGTCATTATCAGGCGAGGTAGCTTGCTGATTGACCTGAACAGGTAAATCGGAAACTGCTACCATATGTATACGCAGCGCTTTCTGGTCTGCAGAGTCGTCATCAATGTCAAGGATCGCCGCAGACTTCTTCCCGGTGTTTATATCTAGGCTCCTGCAAGTTGTCACGTCGAATAGACGTCGTCCTTTCCAGGTCAGGTAGATCGATGATTGTATATGCGGATCAAGATTTTGGCGATTGCACCATGCCAACCGAACATCCCTTAGTCGCTGTGACATTTTTCGATGGACGAGTAATGGTTTGGTGTCCGGAATTTCAGATGTAATAATAATCTGGACGACCGGATCATCCGCTGGAACTTTTGCTGGTTGAGCAGCAGGTCGAGGGGGTGGAGGTTGAACAGGCTGAGGGCTTCGAATTTCCGAGTCATCCGCCAGGACAATCACTGGTTGAACAGGCAGAGCGCCTAGTGGTTTCGTACCACTTGCTTTCTGTGGTGACTGAGACAAGCTCTTTTCTGGGCTGCGTATTTGGGCTGTCTCGCATTGCTTGACTGACTTGGCTGACTGGGGTGAGGAATTATGCGAGGGACTCGAGAGCTCCTGTGGCTCTGGTAACACACTTTTGACATTATCAATCTCACGGCTCGCATCCCGCACTGGACGGCTATCAGCGCGCCCTTTCCCCTTCTCCGCAGAAAGTCGACGCCGCTTCTTCCGGTCTATGTCTTCGGTATCTTCGGTGTCTTCAGTATGTTCTGGGATTTCCGGTGTTTTCGGCTGCTTTCGGTGTGCTTCACGGTTCGCAGCAATGATATCAGAGTATGTTTGTTCTGAGCGTCGATAAAAATCAGTGCCAGTATCCTTCGTATTCTTGATTGCCCACTCGGGCTTTTTGAAAAAGCTCATGACTCTCGGCGCCAGAACCTGTGGCCAAGTCAAAAAAATGCAAGTATCGTGGGATGACTGAATGGATTTTAGAGATGACTCGGGGGCGCGCGATTATGATCCGCGATATGTTAGTGGAAAATTAAAAATTGCAACATTAGAGTCTAGGCATGATGCGAACAATTGGCAGTCAAGGTGGAGGGAACATGTGCATGTAATCACATCTTTCCAGACTTAGAACAGGCACGGTGGAGCCTCGTGGGACGTCCTGCTTACCGCCTGCTAAAAATAGACTAGAGCACTTTCTGACCAGCGGAGACCCCTCTCCTCTTTATTTCTTACAAATTCGCTACACGTACCTAGGTAGCAATGGTTAGCCCACATCTTTTCAAAATCTCTCTATTTCAATATTTCGAACGTTGTTTGCAAAGCTACTAAAAGGTGAACTATTTTATGACAGGCAATATCGGCAGAATACAATGGCGGTGACTAAACCTATCGGCACATTCTGCCCCACTTGCGATAGTTCATCACCCTCACCGCCTTCCTGCTATCTCGCTTTCGAATGCTTCGTCCCTCCACTCACAAGACACATCTCAACCAGGTATGCCTCGCCTTTTTTCCTCCCTTGGACTTTGCTCTAACTGACATTTCATAAATTTTAGAACACATAATGGATATGGAGAACGCCTCAACCTCCGAAGGGAAAGATCCCTCTGTCTTTCTGAGTGAGATCATCGGTGCGCCTGTGATCGTAAAGCTGAATTCTGGAGTGGTATACAAGGGTATGGGCTCTTCTTTCCATTTGTGGTGACTTAGGTTCTAATGCGCCTATAGGTGAATTGCAATCAGTTGATGGCTACATGAACATTGCCCTTGAGAAGACGGAGGAATATGTGAACGGAAAACTACGACGAAACTACGGGGATGCTTTCGTGCGCGGAAATAACGGTTTGTCACTCCTTTCTTTTCTTCCAATCCTATGGCTTGCGTGACAGATTCCTGACTAGAACCTATAGTACTCTACATCTCTGCCAGTTGATTCGGAAATACTGTTCGATGTTCAATTGGGTCGGCGTATGACAACTTCGAGGATGATGAGAAAGACGCGCATCGAGCCGTATTGCAATGATCTGGAGTCTTCTAGCTAGAAGGATGGAATACAAGCCTAGGTCGTGATTGACCAACTCTGCTTGTGGTGCAGTTGACCAGACTTATGAGCCTGGAGTTCTGGAGGCTACGTACCCACAGGGTTTCTTTTTTACCCTACTTTGTATTGAGCTCGACATTAGCAACTATGGTCATGAGCCCATCATGTCCCCAGGCGACTTGGTAATAATATCTAGTGATTTGGCAGTATGTTATTGACCTCGTGTTTTAATTATAGCATTTGACACTCTATAACCTGATTACTTTGCCTAAATGTACATCCATGGATGGTGTTGATATAACAACCTCCCTTGGCTACCAGAAATCAGACCAGAAGGATTCTTCTGACCTCTCAGTAGTATCCGTTGGTCAATGCTCAGTGTGTTTCCCCTTGTTTCTGTTACAAAGACACCGTCTGGTTTTGAAAAGTAGTTAACTAGTTAGGTAGTTATGGTATCTTTGATTAGGTCATCCCGTTTTGGTACCTAACTATAAAATATGTCCACGGGTATAGGTATATATATAGGGTGCATTCCAATACAAGGGATATTATGTATCTCTGTATACCATAGATATGCTAGTTTACTACTAATAAACAACTAGATATACCTAGGCCTAGTTATATTTATATCTATATACACGTCTACTTCTTGTATAAACCAACCTACTATTGTTTCACTTATTTTACTACTATAATAGCGTACCAATCTACCTAATAGTATACCGCGATTACTAGATGAGAGAGCTTATAGCCTCTAATCTATGTAGTTTATATCTTGAACAAGATATACCCGCGGTGGTTGATAAAGAAATGTTCAATGAGATCGGGTAGTTCGAGTTCAGCTTTGGAGCGCTACGCGCAGTACCAAAGGTAAGCAGTCTATATAGAAGAAAATGTCAGTTTTTATCTCAAATTGAGCTCAATTGCACTATTTTCTAGAGCTTTTTATCTGGTTTTTCACAGATTAATACTAATATGGAGTGAGTACTTTATACTGATAAAGATGAAGTAGTATGTACGTGGTGTATGTGGTGTATGCAGTTGTGTAAAAAAAAGTAGTAAAGTACTGGTATTGGGAGAAGGTGAGTAAGTGGAGGAAGTTGCCCTAAGGTAATGAAAGGAATAAGGCATACATGATATTTTGAGGGTGCCTTAGGCCCCACATCCCACTGAGAGGTCAGAAGGATCCTTCTGGTGTGTGGTCACCTTGGCTACTCGTATCCCCTCTGTGCCTGAAATTTCAGTAGCGCCTTCTTACATATGCCCTACATGTACCTAAGTATGCCCGCCGTACATCCATCTAGTCAGCCCTGGAAGGCTCCGGGGTTCTCCATGGTTATCTATACTTATCATTGTCGTGCTGCCCACCCTTGTCGCGCCGAGCTGTGGGAAATTATAAAATACCTGATCCGGTCCCGATCTTCCTTCTCTTTTTCTTTTCTTCTCCATCCTCGTGCAAGGGCTTTACACGTATCAGTGAGGAGACATCCGAGATCGTGTTTTTGCTGGTTGAAAACTACCAACCTGACCACTTCAAGCGGGCCTCTGGGAACGCTTGGGAATTTTTGAAACAATACTGTCCCATCTTAAGTCTTTTCACTACTTGTTACCCATGTTGGTGGCTCTTAGAGAAGAGATAGAATATCTTTAGACAGCTAATTATAGCTTGTAGTATCCTTGTATCCATTTTGGTATCCCCCCACTGACCTCCCGAGGTCGGCCCCTGCGCCCGGAAGATTGATTAAGTAAGCTTTCCCAAGTCCCGCCGAGGGGTCCCCGCGGCGCTTTTTAAGGTTCTTTTCTCGCTGCTTATCCAGGTCTGAAGAACTTTTGATTGTCACCTACGAAGATGTTACAAGCAATCAAGTTCAGCAAGGGCAACCTTGAGATCCTGGATCAGTTACAGCTTCCATTCGTCGAAGAATATATTCCCATTCGAACTACAGAAGATGGATGGCACGCCATCAAAGATATGAAAGTCCGCGGGGCACCTGCTATTGCTATCGTAGCAATGCTTGCCCTCGCCGCAGAACTAACCTCTGCTGTGAATAGTGACAACCTTTCACAATCACCAGAAGAGGTGTGCCAGTATATCAGAGACAAGCTTGCTTATCTGGTGACGAGTAGGCCAACTGCCGTCAATCTCGCTGATGCTGCGCGCAAGCTGGAGGCTGTAGTCATCAGTCGCACAAAAGCACCGGGCTCTACTGGCAGCGAAGTCGCAGCCGCGTTTATCCAGGCGGCAGAAGATATGATGGGAAAGGATCTCGAGGATAACAAGAGAATTGGGCACAATGGTGCAGAATGGATCGCCACTCATGCAGCCAAGCCAGGGAATTCAGAAGTTGCTGTGTTGACTCACTGCAACACTGGGTAGGGCCAATTCACTACGCTGTCCATTATCCGTTGCATGTTCTCACTAATGCTGAATCATTAGCTCCCTCGCCACTTCTGGATATGGCACAGCGTTGGGCGTGGTTCGTTCGCTGGCATCGAAGAAAATCCTACGTCACGCTTATTGCACAGAGACTAGGCCCTACAACCAGGGGTCTCGCCTTACAGCCTTCGAGTTGGTTCACGACAAAATTCCAGCTACACTCATCACGGATTCTATGGCAGCCGCTTTGCTTGCAGATACCAAAGTGGGTGTGAATGCAATTGTGGTGGGAGCGGATAGGGTAGCAGCCAATGGTGACACAGCCAACAAAATCGGCACATATGCCCTGGCTGTCTTGGCAAAGTACCATGGCGTCAAGTTCCTCGTTGCAGCGCCACTCACAACCATCGATATGGCCACAAAATCAGGCGAGGATATCATTATTGAGCAACGTGCAGCATCCGAGGTAACCAGCATCAAGGGTCCCTGCGCGGGGTCTGAGGCCACTGACCAGATTACGATCGAGACCGTGAAAATTGCCGCGCCAGGGATCAATGTTTGGAACCCGGCATTTGATATTACTCCCGCGAGTTTGATAGATGGGATTATCACAGAGGTCGGAGTTGTAGAGAAGGGATCCGATGGCCAATATCACTTGGGTGGACTATTTGACGGTTCTACTTTTTGATCCTGATCTGTGCCCACTTGACTCAAGTTTGTTTCATCGACAGATGTAGTACCCGCTGCAGCAGTACCCTGATTTTCGAAAGATGCCAAGAGTTCATCGACTTGGCTTTCAATTGTGTTGAGATGATTCTCGAGGGCCGAGGCAGTCATTTCTCCCCTAAATATATGTCAATATCATGGAATGATTTATGTAACCTATAGCGAGCTCACGTACTTTGCAAGATCTGCGAGTATCTATGGCATGAGTTAGCTGCCAGACCTTGGATCAGTTCGCAGAGGGGCTTGCCTAGCAGCATATTCTAGGGAAATATATGCTGCTTGCGAACGCTGCAGTAGTTGGACTTACCTTTGCCATATCGAAGTCTGAATCCGGTTTTGACATACTGAGCGTTTGAGGATGTGTTGCTGAGTATAAGGGCGTTTTGAAGACAAGAGATTCCTAAGTCCGCGGGGCCTGCAGATGAGCGGGAGGCCCCCGGGGCCCATCGACACGATTAGTCAGCCCGAATCCGAGATACCTGATTTCCCCGATAAGAAAAGAGAAAAAAAAACCTCTTCCTCACTACTATCACCATCCACATTTCGTCGTCATGGGAGTTCAGAAGAAGACTCGCAAGTTTGCGCTGGCCAAGAGAGCCATTTCTATGCGCGACAATCGCCTGTTCGTCGCAATCACGAAACACAGTCTTGTCGCGACACGCTAACAGTTAATTATAGGAAGCAAAACCAAGACAAGACAGAGAAAGGCAAAGAGGCGGCAAAAAAGGATGATCTCGTCAAAGAGGCGTAAGTAAATCATATATAAATCGCAAGAACTATACTGATAAGTTTGCTTCTAGCCCCCAAGCTCCTTCGTCAATGTTCTTCCAGTTCAACACAGCCCTTGCCCCCCCATACTCTGTGCTGGTCGATACCAATTTCATCTCCCATACCATTCAGCACAAACTTGAGGTCATTCCCACCATGCTCGATTGTTTGTACGCCAAATGTATCCCTATCGTCACGGATTGTGTACTTGCCGAGTTGGAGAAGCTTGGCCCGAAATACCGACTTGCCCTACGTGTAGCCAAAGACCCTCGGTTCGAGCGAGTCAAGTGTGATCACAAGGGAACCTATGCCGATGATTGCCTAGTCGACCGTGTCATCAAGCATCGTGTCTACATTGTCGCCACAAACGATCGTGATCTCAAGAGACGTATTCGGTATGTAACCTACATCTCGATCCCATTTGCGCTGTACCTGTAAAGTCCTAACCTCCATAATAGCAAGATTCCCGGTGCGCCTATCATGAGTGTTGCTCGTGGCAAATATGTGATTGAACGACTTCCCGATGCCCCCGAAAAATGAGCGACTTGAACGATATATCGTTGCATCCAGTCGTTTATCGCTATTGCGACCATCCACATGATACCCACAAAATCTTCCGTTTCTTTCTTTGCTGGAAAGTTGTAAAATAACAGAACAATTTTCGCCTCGAGACACCGGGCAAGCAACCACGACACACACGACCGCAAGACCAAGTTATGCTGTCAATCGACCGTATGCGATCAAACAAAACGACTGCATCGAGAACCAGCAGCATCGCTCCTCCCAGGGCTGGTTCTAGTACTTTAAACCTATATGCCAATGGAATGAATCATTTGAAGGACCCGGGGCTTCTCAGGCAAGGTTATTATACAGTGGCAAATTTATGTCTTTCCGTCTGTGGCAACCGCCAATGCAAATCTCATTGTAATCTACAAGGAAGCATGAATGTCTAATCCCTAGCTGATCGTAGTCATTGGCCGCAGCGCTCGTGAGCCCAGCGGTCTTTCATTTGTGAAGCACGTAGTGCATTGGCTTGCAATGTATTTTCATATTCGTCAACCATACGTTTCTATCAATTGACGAACCGCATGGCGGACAAGACGAGTATTGGCAAAGCTCTGGGTCATTCGCTGTCGCGACATCAATATGTGCAGTGGAGGCAAATCCGTGAGTAGTGAGCTGGATTCAACCAACTCATCACCTGGAGCTGCGATATCAAAAAGCTGCTTCAGTATTCGTAAAGAGTACAGTGCAGCTTGTATTTGAGCAAGAAGGTGGATATCCGCCCATTTGGTACTTTGCGCCATATATCCCTTTGTAAGAAAACTCTCCAATTCCTTCGCACTCGGAATTGTGGTTGTGCCGGATCCATCACGATAAATATCGGAAAGAGCAAATAAAAACCAGAAGCCCTCCGCTGCCAAACCATTGTCAAAGGTAGTATGTGCTGTGGCAAGGCGTCTCCGAAGGAGATCCAAATCAGAGGCCACGGTCTTTGTTCCGCTTAAAGTGATCTCTTCGGCCACGATCCTTCCACCTCTGCGAACAAATTCATGTACGACAGTAAATCGATCGGCAGCAGGACGGGACATATTGAAAAATGAGTACCCAAGGGACCTATATGTTCGACCTTGTTCCCAGGCACATCGCCTAGAAGAGTCTTCGTTCAAAATCCCGAGATAGATGTGCGGTTGTTCATCCAAGCAGTAGATGCTAGGAAGTTCATACTGCCAGAATAATTCTGATACCCTGGGATCCAACGGGTTTTTGGACTGTTTTGCTCCACGTATAACCTCATTATCCGTGGTCTCGTGTTGATATTCTTGAAGAAACTCCAGATATTCAGAGGAGAGCTCAGTCGCCTTACTACTCTCTTTGGATATCCGGGCAAGTTCAGCAAACCGCAAATGAGTATTTCTTTGCAATTCGTATGCAAACCACTGAACGCTTGGGATGCCTAACCGACCGGATAGCGAATGGGGACATATTCTCAGCCCCCGAATATCTGGCTCGGCCGGATCCCAGACGCCCGAGGACGTTTGCACCGAGTCTAAAAACAAGACTGCACCTTGCTCGCCAAGATCGTGAAGCAAGAGATCCGAATCATCCGTCAACACTGCACATCCGGTAAGTTTTGCCACATGGGCGCACTCAACATCTGCTTCTCCTGGTACCATGACGGTGATTTTCGCCCAGGGGTAATCAGCATCAGTGACAAGGCAGCTGATGTCCTCGTCAACCTCTTTCTGGATCTGCTCCTTGTTCCATCGGTTCCGCAAGTCCTCAAAGACCGCGGATACCATGAAAGGATTCTCTGGAAGGCCTTTTCGTCGCCGAGGTAAGCTTCGACTGCACCAGATCTGTCCTCTTTCAGTGGGCATCACATCGCGACATTTGGGCGTTGCAGGCAGAGACAGATTTCGACGAGCTAATTCCAGACGATGGCGTAGTTTTTCAATTCTGGAAAAGCGGATTTCTCGCTTCGAAACGGGCAAAGCACCATCGAAGCATATCTTATGTCTGAAGGGCAGAGAGGAAAAAGAAAATTTATATCAGACGATAGCTGTGTTTTCGGACTAGTGTGATGGCTTACATTTTAACTCCCAGTCTGGTTAATTGGAGAAGGAAGCTGCTCACCCCACGACTGATTTCATCGCAGGTTGGCTGGTAGTCAAGGACATCACTGCTTGGGTCCATCCAACCCAACAGTCGACGGTAGACATGGTATACTAGACTGGGCCCGTCGATGACAACGGCTTGGACGCGCGGGGATTCTGAATCGGTTGTCCTTCCATCTAACAAGACACTTTCGGCATAGGGAAGCAGGTGTCTGGTTAAGTGAGGGATCCCCATAGCCAATGTCGTGTAAGAACCATTCTCGTTGGGGGTTGTGGATTTGTTTTTTTTTTTTTTCGGGTTTTTTTTGTATTAGTCAGGGATGGCGAGGCGCTGGCCCCGGGTTCCAACTTTAGGCAAGACAAGAAGACTTTGGGTATTGTCTCATCATTCTTACCGAAGACTCAGAAGGTACTGAGACGAAAATCAGATGGCACCAAAGTAGGTAGGGTTAGTATAATTCCTTCAAATTCCTACAAAACCACTGGATTTATAAGCCAAATGCATAGATTTATAAATTCAACGTAACAAGCATGATAGATAACAACGAAAGAAAACAAAAGGCACTATGCCCCGAGAGATATTTATCCAATAAGTAAGAATATGTATGGAGTTGTCCTTTGCAAATCACCGAGCAGATCGCAAGAATCCAACCACTCCGCGACAGTAGCCCACTAGCTCAGCCAGGCGCTTTCCCTCCTGCTTTTGCTCGACAGACCAAGTTGCCAGAGCCTCTTGCAATAGACGATACTGAGGCTCATCCTGAGTAGAGCTGAGGCTCACAGTGTCGGCATGAATTTTCAAAAAGACCGCCATCCAAGCATTCACAAGCTCAAAGTCTCTCTTTGACTTTAGGCGAGCAGTCAGGGCAGTGACGAAATCGGACAACTCAGAGTGTCCATCAAGTACCCGAGGATCTAGTGAACGGATCTCAAGATCTGCTTTGGCCGGAGATAAGGTCTTGAGATGGTCGATAAATGAGCTAAAGTCACCAGAATCATGGCCAGATGCCAATGATCGAGTGAAAATAGATTGAGGAGCACTGGGGTTTCCACCATTTTGCAACTTGGCAATCCGTAACCTTTCGGCTTCAGCAGTTTTGGCTAGCGATCCAACATCGGTATCCTCGGTGCCGGGGATTTCACTGGCGATCTCGGGCCCACTGGAACTGAGGAGAGAAGGAAGGAAGAACGGAGCCTTCTCGGGTGCCTTGGGAGCTTCCTTGGGACGATTACGTTCCTTTTGAACTGTTAGCTAGAGATTGGCACTTTTGCATGAATAAAAACATACCCGTATAGTGTCTAGGTGGATCAATGACTGCCATCTGCTTTTGGGGACAAGACTCAGTGTCATCATGTCGTGTTGTAGTTGTTCCGTCGCCAGTACTGGGCCCTCTGCCTCATCTTGCTCGGTAGTATCGACAAAGGCGGCTTCAATAAGACCAGCACCGCCTTCTCCTGATGTTGCCGGGAGTCCAACGTTCTCAATAACGTTCTCGTCTAGGTTTTTGGTCGACACAGGCATGAAAAGACTGCGATTGCTCCAAAGACTGATACCAATGCTACCAGCGTGTGCGGTGGCAAGGAATTCACCTGTTGAAGACATGGCCAGAGCAACACATGTGCTCGAAACCCGGAAAATGTCGATCAGATGCCCAGTGGGCATGTCCCATACGCGTACTACCGAGTCCATGGAGGCAGCAACAATCCATCGTCCATCATTCGAGAAGATGAAATCATTGACTTGACCCACACATCCCCAAAATTCACGAACGAGCTTTCTGGTCTCGAGATCAATCACACGAATCGAGAGGTCGTCACAACTGAAAGCGATTAATTCGCTGGCCTTGTTATAGCGAAGTCCAGTAATGGCAGCCATGGGATGCCAGTCTAGTTCATCAAGGAATTTCCCAGAGAGGAGATCCCAAAACTATATTCCAGAAAAGGTCAATTTGTGAATCCCAGGAGAAAAAAAAGAGAATGGTGGGGCGTACCTTGACTTTGCCATCCAAGCCACAGCTGACAACGGTACGGTTCAAGCTGTCAATCATCAAGCCGGTCACAGCCTTAGTGTGTTTAAAAGCCGCAGCGACCGAGACCTGAGCATTGGATTTGGTGGCACGGGAAGCTGGGGGGCGAGCTGGGAAACTTTGTCGGTGCTGACCTGACTGCATGTTGAACATGTCGATAGCACCTCCAGCTGATCCTATAACAGCGAAAGTTCCACATTGCGAAACGGCCACACTCTATGAAAACTGGATTAGTAAAAGAGAACAATTGTTCAGTCATTTTCAAGAACCTGCGCACCTTGACTTCTGTCCCATCACTGGTTGCAAACGCCCATCGACCTGCCTTCTTTTTGCCCCAGAACCAAGTACGAGCGAACTTGTCGCCCCGATGACCAGTTACCACGCTTTCCCAGCCGGTTGCATTGGAAGCGTCGGCGTTTGTAACCTTCGGGTTCGACCAGATCGGACCGGAAGTGGTGACTCCCATTCCGCCATCACGGTTGAGGCTGCAGGCAATGCATGTAACCTCAGGAGCTTTGAGATCTTCTGTATTTGAGATGTCTGATGGCCCTGCCTTCTTAGCCTTGCGTTCCACGTTGCCCTGCGAGATCTCACTATGCTGGCTGTCTTTGCGCAGACTGAGTCCCCAGAGACTGCAATCCTTGCTTGCACTAAGAAGCCACTTGCCGCCAGACTCGGAACCATCCGAGGATGTCGGCAGGAAATCAAGAGCGCTGACGGCAGCAGAGTGTCCGTTTCTTCTATGAAGAGGTCTAGGAATAGGCGAGAATGGCGTTTCGTCGAAGATCCAAGTTTTCAAAGAATTGTCATCACCCGAAGACACGAGCACTGGCTGTCCATCTAAGAACTCAACACGGTTGGCGCCCATGGGCTTTTCACCACTTGATACTCGATGAGCTCCACGAAGAATGCCTGCAATGCGACCTCCATTATTCAAGTCCCAGAGGGTGATATCACCGCTACCACTTGATGCCGTGGCCATAACACCTGAGCTGCGACCATCGTGGCCAGCACCCAATCCGTCGTTGCGGAAAGTGATGGATGTTACGGGGAGACCCCTAGATGAAGCATTCTTGAGAGACAAGACCAGCTGACCTGAACTCACGTTTTGAATAGCCAACGCACCGCCCTTATAGGCAATGGCAATAAGTGATAGAGCAGGGGTGGGGTGAATCGCAGTCACGGGCCCAGAATCTGGCGACAAAGACGGCAGCGTGTAAAGAAGTTTTCCGCTGCGGAGATTCCAGATATCGACCGCTCCGTCCGATCGGCCCACAAAGATCTTGTTCAAATAAGTCGGCATATTGCACATTATCCCGGTGTAAATCTTCCCTCCAGAGGAACCCCGAGCAGATTGTGGCCGCAAACTGGCATAGTGCTCGTATGTGCCCGTTTTCCAAACTTCGAGGCCACCAGTCCAACAACCAACCACCCATGAACCGAAGACCACCAAGCGCTCAATGGGTCCCTTCAGATCTTCAGGGCTCTTCAGTTCTGCAACTTTTTTGCCACGCTTGAAAACCCAGACTCCTCCGGGTGACTGCGACCGAAGGTGGCCCCAAGCTGCAAATACCTTATCCTGCCACGCACATGTTGCCGTAATGATCTCCGGTGTTTGCGGTCGAGTCAGGAAGATAAGGTTTAAACCTCGGCGCAAATCATAAGTCTGCAGCGAGTGTCCCACGGAGGTTGTGATTTGAAAGGTCGATTTACCTAGGCGCACCGATGTAAAAGGAACGGGTGTTGGTGAGACCAATCCTAGTGTCTTTATGTCGACAAGTCAGCTTAGAGAAAAGAAGCGATTCAAATATATCTCTCAACTTACACGGAAAGGAGCAAAGATCTTGGAACCACGTGTTCCAGCGTTAACATCTTGCGATACCCGTTTCTGCCTCTTCGCAAGAGGCACATCGAAATTATCGGCCGAAGGCATGTTGATATCGAGGGACACACAGACCACGACGGATATATCGGGGGGTGCAGAGTAATCAGAAGGAACCCCTTAACCTTTCAGGTGAGAATTCTGTTCTGACTTGTTCAACAAGTCAATCACGAAGGGTATCTAAGCAGTCTAAGTCGTCTCACTTAGCTCGTCTTTTTTTTTCCCGCTGTTTTTTTTCTGCCCCGCCTAGTCCTGCAGGCCTTAGACCGCCTTCAAGCGGATGATATACATTTACCCCGAGTATAGAATACCTTCACTACATGGGAATATTTACAGTATATCTTGGGTCTACCATGACTTAACATAATTATATAGTTGTTAATTATCTTTAATTTGCTATATTCTCCAAAGAAAACTCATTGATCATCTTAATCGAGACTTCTTTGCATGGTTAAAATGCTATCAAGTAGTATAGTCAAGTATTGGAAACTTCCGCAAGAAGTACTTGAATAGATGGGGCATATGGTACTTTTAGATCTACTATGCCGTACTCTATAAGCTATACGAGGAAGCCCGATGAACCTAATTCACAAGTAACTTATCACTTTCAGCCCTTTGAGTCCGATCATGAGCAAAATTTACGAACTTGGACCAGCGAAAAAGTCCGTTTCTTCTCTCCGCCTATGCAAAATGCGGAACCCCCCATCATATTTGGTAATACAATCCAAGAGCCTGGAGCTTCCAAGATTCCCCGATCTGCGCTCTCTCTCCGAACTGCTAAGAATTTGTACCTGAATCCCTCCCCCCACACCCCATTGATCAATATTGGTTTGGTTTGGTTTGGTTTACAAACACAATACTGCTCATTGACCCCTCATATGGATAATGCCGCTGAGCACAGCACCGGCTCTTCTGCCAATGCTGAACCCTTGAGACTCGCAGAACCCAACCTCTCGTCGCCCTTGGTTGATATGGAATGCGAAGATAACGATCAGACGCCCACAGGACCCGTTCTCGAGCCCCCATTGGTATCGACTAAGCCTCCATCACCCGCAAAGTCGATTCAAAGCCAATCAGGAAAAGCCGATTCTGGATTTGACCCTCGCCCCGGTCGACTGAACCAATCCACACGCCCCTTTAGCCACACACCTAGAAGGTTCAGTGGAAGCACGGCTGCTAGTACCGCTGCAAGCTCTATCAATGAAGTGGAATACGGCTCCCTAAAGCCATGGAGGATCGGAGTCTGTGCCTTGGATGTGAAAGCACGCAGCAAGCCGAGCCAGAATATCTTGACTCGACTCCAATCGAAAGGTGAATTCGAGGTGA